AGCATCATGCGCAAAGCCTTAAATGACTTGATTTCCAAAGCAAATGATCACGCCACTGTAACTGTCGGTGTAAAACCGCAACTGAGTAAACACTACACTCTGATATGCTTATCAATCGAAGATCACCAGATCGTATTTTTGCGCATAGTCATCGTCATCCGTCGTTTATTTGTTACTCCAGCGTCATTTTATTTCTTTAGCAAGTGGTTGCAGAATGTCGGTTAATTTGTACTTCTTAATAACAATTCAAGCTGAACGCATTTCTGACTCAGTCCTCAATTATACTGCATGAAGTTTTGTATATTATTTGCTCTTAACCGATTATCAAATGATGCATAAGTAAATTCTTCCTAGCCACGGAAGGTTTATCAAACAAGAATAGGGTATGAGTACCCAATCGTGCTACTGCTTCTAAAGGCAAAAATATCATGCAACATAATTTGTTCCTCACCTGTATATCGTTATGTTGTTATCCGTGTTGGCATTGCTGCTTTCTTTCTATAAAATTTTCGAAGGTAGAAGGTCAGAAAGAATACCGTGTACAGTGTGCTGTGTTACAATTTTTACATTTTATTCTGCAGTAAGGTCGTCTTCCATTTTTCCCATGATATTGAATTGCTCACGTAACCGACAAGCGTACTCTGTATGGCGTCACATTTGAGCTTCGTGTTGATGAAATTAATTGTTTCCTGTTAATATTTTATCCTGCAGCAAGATGAGCTTCGACACAATTTTCGCCTTCCATCTCAGTGAGGTAGCCAGTATATTTGACAAAATTTTAAGATTAAGATAAATCAGAATGGCAGATTTGATAAATTTGGCAACGAGAGTGGGGAACATATCTTCGAGATCATTACCCGAAAATTTGGGGTTATAAATATGTCTGCATGGAAAGAAGTGCAACTGGTTTGCACAGTAGAGAGCGGTTCAAATGCATCGCTCGGCGTAAATGTTTTCATATTAACTACCAAACCTCTTGACCAATGAAATTACACTATTGTCTTTCTGCAGAACTAGCTGAATAACAGGTAACATGCTGGTTCATAGTGAGTAATATTAACGGTATAGTGTCTCGTGTGGGCATGTTAAACAGTACGAAACACGCGAGCATACAATCTTACGCGTCAATTTACGACTGCAATTCTTCTTTACCCATTTGAGAGCCGATGAAGAGTCTGCAAATGGTGTAGATGTAAGCCTAAAACCTTTTCAAACATGCGGTAATGCAGGCATTTTTCCATGAGAAAATTGCCATTAGCCATAATTTATTCACCTGATTCAGACATTTTTACTCCGGGTACTTTCTTCTTGGCCCTGATACCTCAGATAACGATAAAAACAACCACAGCAATTCAGGTGCATTAAGCTGATTGTTAATAAATGCGTTAGAATCATTTGACGCACTACAAGCTAATTAATCTAATGATTAC